ATAAGCCACGCCTTGGATTTCTTACGCTGTCGATGACTCTAGCTTGCTTCCGACCGCCAATATTCGGCACCACGTACGCTTAACCCCAGCCACACGTGTTCGGTACTGCTACCATTCGTTCACTGAAGAAAAAAAAATGAGATCAAGAAATTATATACCTCAACTGAAATTAAAAGAGTTTGAAAACACGTACTCCGTTTCGTTGATATCAGTTTTTCTTTTTTCAGTATTTTATGTAGTCGGCCCCGCACCTCAATCCTGAGTACCACCTGGAGATCGAGAGACGTGTGTATGAGCACAATAGTCTGGCGCAATATGTTCGTAGACGTTAAGTCGATCCTCGCAGCAGCAGCAATGCTAATATCTTGAATTGTCCGTGAGGTTTTCGAAAACTGTTGAAGGTATCTCTTCATTAGATTTGTTTGTCATTAGATTTGTTTAATATTCAACAAACACGTCCGTTACTTTTTTTTATTTTTGTTTTATTATGCGTCACAGGAAAATGAAAAGGTTAAATTTTCCAAAACAAGGTCGGAAAATTAAGCGTAATCATAAGGTGCTTCCTCGTGAAATTAATATGACGCCTTTGATTCGGAAGAATCGAACACTCCGAGGCTGTCCACCCAAACAATACCGTCGTCCGTGACAGACCTGCGTACAGCACGTAAGAGTAGGGTACTTCTTTCACTTTTTTTTTTCGCAGGCCGAAATGACCCCATTTGCTTATGAATGGTCGAGGTATTGAACCAGATAGGAACATTTTACGAACCTTGTAAAATTCACATGCAGCGGCAGAATTTTACCTTGTAAGCTTTTGTTCTCCCTCTGCTCGACAACCTCCATTATATTCACCCGCGATAATAAACGCCCAGGCATTATAACAAAAAGTTTAATTTAGCCGTTTTCAGGTCTTTATATTTTTCATAGAGTAAATGAGAGGTTGGGCTCTAGTTTTTTTAGTGAGTAGGGATTGTTTTTTTGTTTTTTAGCTTGTTTAAACATGTAGTGGAATACATCTGTGACAGTCACATCTGTGAGTCGACTCTCGCTGAAATATTTGTTTGACTACTTTTGAGTTCATAAATATTCCAAGATAAAATTGACCATAGGCTCATGTGAGGCACTATTTTAAAACGTATGTTTGCCCTATAATAACCGTTAACTAAAGTATATTGCAGTGGTTGCATAATCTATCTGAATTTCGACGAAACCTACGTATTTTTATGATGATGGGCCAAATTTTGTTTGTGAATGTCTGAACAGTAGGCGTGTGCGAATAGTCGAGATTTGAATTTGAATTGAATATTGATTATCTGAAAAGTTCGATTCAAATTTCCGAATTTTTAACTCGAGTTCTTGAATAATTCGATAGACATCGGATATCAGTATTGCTGACAAAACCTTTGGTATAGTACTCCCCCCAGCCTTCTGTTTGACCTAAATAAACCTCTGCATTCAAAATACTTGACTACGAACCATTTCGACGAAAAGCGGTTTGTTTCTTAGTGTTTCCTGAACGAAGCGGTCATGCTCCCAGCTTCTTGAAAGCACTCAGGAGAAACTTGTAAGCGATGCACGTTGCCATTTTGAATTTAATATCCTTGAGTCCCCTGCAGCCAGCTATGTGCAATGGAGACCTATCCTGAGTTGTTACGTCCGTAATATGACAAATTATTATCAAACTACCAGCAACAGCTATAGTTTAACCCGCATTTTCTGCTCACCCGTCACTCCCCACGATGTCGAGCGATGTGCCAGCTGGAAAAATGCCGCAAGACTTTACCCGATTTCTGATCCGTCCATTTGTCCAGCGAGTAATGTATTCACACATGAATGCGTGTAAACTCCCGTGATCTGTGTCTTAAATTTGTCGTTTAAGTGGGGTGATTAACGCCAAAAATATAAACATATGAAGGTGTTTTTTGTTTTTTTTTGTATCCATCTTATCTATAATAACTTTTTTTTCACCCTGACATTCCGAGTAATTCCTTTATTCGCATTGAATTTGACATTTGACTTTTTGACAAATTTTGTCATCCCCAGTTTTATTGTTATTCAAGATAAAATATAACTATTAACAATAATCTAGTTAACAGGTACCCTGGAAACCACATGTGCTTGTGGCTGACATAGAGTGAGATTATTGAATGTATTTGATGAAGAGTGACGATCAGAGTGAACGCCTGGATAAGTTTTCCATGAAGTTTTGTTTTCTTGTTTTATCAGCAAAGAATTGCTAAAAGAGCACCGGCTACCGGTTTTCGCCAATCATGGCCACTTGCACGACACGAGAGCACACGAAACTATACACCAGTTCCTCGGATCCGCGATTCACAAAATACAAAGAAGGCGCCGCGTCAGCATAACCGGTATCCTTTCTTTCCCGATAACTTTACAAAAAGAGAAGGCTACAGACCGTTCAAATCAATCAGAGCGACGGAACCGAGCAGGGTTGGGCAGAAGTACTCAGAAATGTATTTAGAAATACAAATACTGGGATACAATAAAATAGTGGCTAAAATACTGATACTGAAATATACCTGTAAAAGTATATCGTGATACGTATCGGGAATACATTTTAAATAGAGGCAAAAAGTATTTGGAAATACAAATACAGGAATACATTTTAGGGAGGGCAGAAATACAAATACAGAAATACTGATACTGCAATAGATTCTTCAAATTTGTTTGAGACGCCAAAGGACATTAAGTTTGAAGTTTGAAGTGGATTGATCCTGAAATTACTTTCCCATAGGCTTGGCACTTTGCCTTGAAGGTATTGATTTAGGACGAGGAGGAGTCTTCAATGGGTTCAAAAAAACATTCCATCGAGGACTGACCCCGGTCCCTTACCTGACATCCTGTCTGTCTGACGAGGGATGCGAAAAGACTTCGACCTCTACATAAATTCTGTGTCATCCTAAATCCCATCGAAGCGTCACCACTCACCTGTCCAATAAGGACGCCCCCGTCAACATTTATCACATGACGTCACGGTGGAATGAATTGGTATTCTTTACCTGTAGTTGTGGACCGTATGGTCTTGAACATAAAACTTTACCACGCTGCTGTGTGAAAGGAGAGTACGTACTTTCGTTGTAGGTTACCTCGTTGAAGATCGTGCCGGCAGCGTCATTTGCAATTTTCGAGAATAGTGGACCACCTGAAGCATCCTGGAACACATGTCTTATCTTCTGTTGCGGTTGAAAAAACGATACGGGGGCATCTCTGTTGTGAAGGTCCTTCCTGCCGATTCTCCGCCACCGACGCATGGATTGCAGTCCTCAAGTTTCGTATTGCATACTCCAAATAGAGACCTCAATGATTACGATCTCATATTGCCGGCACAGGTGCGAGCTCTCCGAGAAACAGCGCGCTCGAGACGAGTCGCGGGTGTACGACGTCTGGGTCGGCACAGCGAGGCCACGTCTGACCTCCTTCCTGGCTTTCGGATCACCAGAGAGGCAGGTTACTTTCACGTCGGCTGATGACGTACCCTTGAGCCGCGCAATATTACGGGCGCAGCCGCAGCCGCATTCAAATATCTGTTGAACTTCACTGCGTCAGTCATCTTACTATTTCAAGTCAACCACCACCAGGTTCGTGCTGCAACGCACTGTGACTCAGCTTTGCGGGCTGGGTGTACTGTGTATGCTAAGGCAAAAGAGACGGTTAGCAGCGGGTTTGGGATGTCAGCAAACAATGACTCAAGAAACCCCTACCTAAGGACCTGCGGCACAAGGTGCTCTGACTCCACTCCTGGCACGGCACCTGGTTCGAGTCCCCGACTACGCAACACTTCTCAGAAGGAAGAAGAGCACGCATAGAAAAATAGTTTGGAGAATCGGAAGCAACCTTGGTCAGCATGGTAACGATGCCCCAGCATTTCCCAGACCCTAATGCCCTCAGAAGTAAAAAAAAAAAAAATGCGTTCGGATTTTTTTTTTTTTTTGATGGGGGGGGGGGGGGGGGGAGTATTTTTTAAGAAATGTAACGAAATACATTTTACCCTAATTGTATCGCGATACAAGGGAACATTCAAGATGTATCACGATACAGGAATACAGATACTGGTGAAAAAATGTATCGCGATACAGAAATACAGATACGAAATGTATTTCTGAAATACTGTCGTGATACATTTGTATCGCGATACTGCCAAACCCTGCAACCGAGTATGTGACAACTATCTGCAGGAAGAGCACTCGGACGATACGCCGTCACGTGCCTCATTCCGACACGCTGATTGAATCACAGACACTGTCCCCTGGTCCGTTAGCCAAGTAATGATAAAACTGAGTATAACGCCCCTTGGACTAGAAAGAGCGCGAGGGACATTATGCAAATGAACTTTATTTTGCGTATTAACTCCAAGACTTTTCCACGGCGTGTCACCAGTGTTACAGCGTCTGGGTCCTACCTTACAAATCAATTATCGCACCTCCGATGACTTCGCCTGGTAGAGTACGCTAGCCTCTTAACACGTAAACTAATATATCGAGCTGTAAGTGATGAACCTTTCTTTTCTGCTAAAACATTTATAATAATTAACACACTGCAGTTCTAAGCGTATTACGAGCAATAGCACTTTCCAGTTTATTATTTTACCAGATATCGTTTCCTTATCTTTCAGTAAAGCTAGTAATAAAGAAGCTAGTGACCTCAGACTACACTAACAGCATTTGTCGAACCCCCATAAGCGAATAATGGAGAGGAAGGAATATTAATAAGCCCTTGACCGTCGTCCCCAGTGAGCAAAGTGTAAAGAAAAAGTTAGCTGGACGCAGGCGAAAAGTCCGACGAGGAAAGAAAGAGAGTTACTGCGACCCTGGTGGCTGAAGTGAACAAAACCACCCCGGTGGGAGCCTGGTAGACCTCGAGGCCTTGCCCGGTGCACCTTGGCAGCCGGCAGGCAGACCTGGAGCTCCCCGCTGTCGCCAGGGGTCGCGGTGGGCCTGTCAGCCGCGGCTCTCCCCCGAGCTCGCCAGTGGGTCCGACCCACTACCGCTGCCGCCTTCGATCCACCAACACAAGCCTCCGCCAGCGCCCGCGCTCGGAGCGGGAGATTTGTCCCTTCGACGACGGTCCCTGTGCGATGCCGAGAGCTCGACTGGATTACAAACTCGGCGCTACTACGGACGACTTCAGCGGACGACGAAGACGAAAGCGCGACAGCGCCCCCCGGTCTCGTATCGTCGTCATGGCAAAGCCAGAAACGACAAGCCGGCATTTGCACGCATCGCTGGACGAAGTTGCCTGAACATCGCTTAGGACCCACGGTCGCGCGTTGCCTTTCTGACGCGGAGTTGTCATCCCGACTTCGGCAGCATCGTCGACATCGGCGGTGACGTGTGAAATGGATGTTGACGTCTAGCGGAGTGTTGAGGATTCCCGAGTTGGGTGCGGAGGGTGCCCTTCGCTCTTCGATGTCGTTCTCGTTATCGTCTCTGCGCCTGTTGTTGTTGTCGTCTTTTGCTTCCGCGTATCCCGTGGTTCCGTTTCTGTGTCTGCGCTACTGTCCTGCTTCTGGCCGGAAAGGGCTCGTGATGATCGGCGTCGTGGTCCTTGGAATGGTGTCGGTCGCGATGGCCCATACTGCGGATGTCACTGCACCGCCGTCTGAAGAAGAAGGTGAGTTGGATATTTTCAAAGGCATTGAGGATTGCAAGCGGACTGTTGGTGAGACTACGCTTAAGCAAATGTAGCTACTCTGGTCCCGAGCACGACTAGCCGTTAGGTTCGTAGAATTCTTTATTTGTACAGATCTGTCTAGAGTGCCCTCGGGGGACGAGGAAGTCGGGTGAAATATTTAAATCACATTGTATTGTAATGAGCCGGGAAGGCAGAAGGCTCTCAATATGCCATTCAATAATTCGTGTTAATTAAGCTACTGATTGAGATGTTAAGTGCTGACGACGACGTGAAACCTATCGTTGGCATAAAAACATAACAATGTTATGCCATCTCACTCAATTTGAACCGTTTTATTTCTAAGATTATTGCGAACACGATGTAGTGGGTTTTACGTAAATATATAGGTGAACGTTTCTTCTGCAAAGGAAGCACATCTTTTATAAATATCGCTCTCTCAGGAGAAACACTCTACGTTGGCTTATCGGATAAATATGTAGGATATCGGCCATAGGTATAGTTATGAAGCTAAGTGGCTCTCCGCATCTCCTTTTTACGCATGCATTCTACCGACAACAGACAGTGCACGGCACTCTTGACTTCATAGCTGTAACGTTTTCTTTTTTTTTCTTTTTAAGCCTGACGGTTTAAAACCTTTTACACGCGAGCCAGAGAGTTATGTTCCCGCGTCGTCTATCAATCTTGAATGAAAGTAGTGCTTCCAGCCCCTGCGACACTTGCTAGTTTCATTCTAAAATTCTATCTCATCACCTCCTACCTGCACCTACACCTCCGCACTTACAAATATCAAAGTAATATGGACGTCGCGACATCCTCTTTTCAAAAAAAAAATGGTTTGGGGGGGGGGGGGGGGGGGGCATCCAGAAAGGGAATAACCACATCTCTTTACAATTTAATTTTATAAATATGCTGTAACTTGCAAAGAAACATATTCCATCAACGTTTCTCCACTTGGAGGCGTCTTTTGCGACATCTCATTTTACAACTTTCTTACCAGGTGCTTTGCGGTCTTTTCGTGTTAATAAAAAAAAAGAGAACACCAATTACAGAGGCATCAGTAACTTTATCCTAGGTTCAATCTAAAGCTTCCTGCGTGAATTCAAAATAAGATAGTACTTCAAGACAGAGGGAAAGAGGCATTAAAACAATTTGGTTATGGCGCATCAGCGGCAAATTGCGTACGTGTATATTGTTGATTGTGAAAGTTCAGTGAGTTTGTTACAGAAGCTAGCGCGGACAACTCGATTGAGTGACATTCTCATTTTGAAATGGTGTCTCTAAAGGTGCGCGAGGGAGACCATTGAGGAGCGGTCTGTGTCTGAACGCCTGAGAGAGATCAAAGGGAAGCCAAAGCGCCGTCCCCGTCTACTACAAACAACGCCAAAAGATTCGGAGAGATTTGTGGTGTTACACGTTTGCACGAGTCAAGGGGCAAGAGCAGATGCCGAGATTGCTCGCCTTGTGGCTTTCCTGGAATTACTCAATGCACTCATGATTTCACATTACATTTTGTTTTTTTTTTAAGTAGGAGGTGGAATATGTAATCCTTTGTTTTAGCACTCACTTAAGTTCTTGAAGATGCCCTATATATTATACGAAAGATAGTACAGGTGAACTGCTTTTATATGGCATTCAATTTGGTACAAAATCTCTCTCTCTCTCTCTCTATATATATATATATATATATATATATATATATATATATTTATATATATATATTAAACGTGTTTCGTCGAATATATAAGGCTTCACCTATCAACGGCCAAAACTGTCTCCGATAAACTGCTCACCGCACAAAAATGAGATGGTATTTTATTAGTCACTATAAAGGAACCTATTTATTAGGGTGAGTAAAGCTGAAGATAATGACACTTTTAAATAGATTAGCATGGTCAATTTCATCTGTAGTCAAAATAAACATACAGCTCTAATTCGAAACTTATTAAGCATTAATTAAAACATCAAATTCAATCAATTGTAAGAATTAACGTTTGGGCTGGATGCTTTGTTTCGCTATGTCCTAAATATATCATACAGACGCAACGCGCCTAGCGCTGCTTTTTCATACCTGGTCCTCCACATTTTCGCTTCAGCGTTGCGCGTCGGTGTCTTGCACAGGCGGTACTTTTTCTCATCTGCACGCTTCACACGGGCTCCGAGACTTCTTGAACTGTCTAGTCTAGTATTTTTGAACGACGGTCAGCAAGCTCATAATTTGAAACACATCTATATTTTTACTAACCAAAACATTGTTAGGGATAATAATTAGGAACCTAATTATTCTCAAAGCTAAAGACACTTTGACCCCACGCCAATGACTGATGCAGCGCCGGTTGATTTTGTGCGATGCGCGTAGCATCGCACAAAAACAGCTGTTGAGCTAAGAATATTAGACAACTTCAATACCCGATCCCAAACAGTTGTTTCCAAACCCCACTGGAAGTGCTGTTTTTGCACGATTCACTAGTGCTGGCTCAAACGGTGATTGTATGAGCGCGAAATAACCGATGAATTATATTTGTTTCTTTTTGCGCCAGAATCTATGAAATGCAGTCTTATATGAATTTTGAAGCGTCCCAGTTTCGTGCTACTCTAGTTTCTACCGAGCGATACTAGGCAATAGGAATACAAAAGCAAAAGTAGTGCGTTGCTTTGCGTAGGCGTTCGTGCGCGCTTCATCCAGCTGCGTCGAAGTGTTTAGTATTCTCCGAGACCCTGGTCGCGGACATGTACTCGACTGCGTGCGTGAGGATTCTAGTAAGTAGAATTACTCTTGCACTATTGAAATAAAGCGTAGCGGAGAAGCAGATTCATATTCATGTCGAACTCTATTCAGTCAAAATTTTGTGAATATAGCTGCGGCTCTGTACTTGGCCCATAGTAAGCATGTGCCTCACTGCAACGGCTTTGGCAGAATGCGCGCTTTACCCCCTGTGGAAAGCGCTGGTCTTGTCTCTATAGTTTCTTGTTGTTCCTTAGATTCGTTATTATTCCCATTTATTTCATATCAATTCCCCAAGTGTGTATCTACCTGTAGCCATTACATACGCCCGCAATTAGTGTCGCTTAATATTAAGTGTACTTCTTTACCATGACATAAAACTCGACATTGAGGAATTATTTTTCAACTACAAGTCTGCAACACTTCTTACCTGACAAGCAGACTGTCATGATCTTTAAATTCCGGTTGACTTTATGTCCTGCGAAACTCGCTATATTGAAAAAAAGAAAAACGCATTTGGTTATCTAAGAAACGCTTGATCTCACTACACTACTTGCATGTTTTAAAGCGGCAAGAGCGCTTCATTCCTTCTTGTAAAAAAAGGCTACTGCTGTCTGGGTTACGTTACTTTAAATGGGTCTTGTTTTAACTGCAACCTCGGTCTAGAGTGTAAAAGTGTTGGTGTGCTGCACTTATTTATGTGGATTCAAATATGTCAGCCTTCAATAATATGTCAGTGGATTGCCAGCAGTTTAGTTTGCAAACTCGTTAATGGAAGCGGGCTGTGTTCATCCGTTCCAAACAACCTCGTTTCGTAGTAGGCTGATTGCGTCGCTCGACCCCACCTGTGTTTCGACATACCTTAATGAAACTTCGCGAGATCCAAATTAATCCCAGGTTTCAAACTCGGAGTTCTGAGCCCCTACATATTGCCCAGTTATTCTCAAATTAAGTAACTCTTACCCTTTTCTTCGTAATGCAAGACTTAGTTATAAAGACAATTAACTATGGCTTCGTTTTAGTTGCCTCATATTTAAATACAATTGCAAACAAACACAAGATTTTTCTTTTGACAGCGAAGTTTTTAATAAGTTGTGAGTCGGTCTTTTTTTTTTTCGTTTTTGTGTCCGTCGACAGAAAATTACGCGCGCGCTTTAGCACCTTTCGAGCACGGTAACGTGTGTAATAGAGAAGCTTCAACTGTCCCTTTCCCTCCCCCTCTCATGAAATTTTTATGGTTTATAACTTCCACTGTTATAGAAACACTACGTATTTTTGAAGCACAAATATTATTATCTCAACTAGAAACCGAAAGTCTGGCTTTCGTCGCGACCCAAAGGTACAGTCACCTGTTTTTCTGAGTAGACCTTGACGAGATAAACGGCAAGGCCTTTTTGTCAATGATTGGAGAGTTGAAAGGAAACTGGGGTTGCATTTCTTCGGCACCATTGATTTTGTTCGCTGACTAAACTTAATCGTAGAAAAACGTCTTTATTTTTGCATCGAAATTCGGAGTTCTCGGATAAATCTGAATTTAGGAACACTTTTCCAGGGTATGCTTTCCGAGTTTTTGGGGTTTACCCGAAACCACAGAACCCTACAAAGAAGGCATGTTCGCGCTTTGAACCCGCTTAACCTTTTATTTAAAAACAAGGGCTCGTTGGCTATATAGCAAATTGTTCCGCATCTTAACGTCCTTTAGCGCACCATTTCGCTTCCACCCGAACTTGAACTCTCACTTTTTGTTCTATTAAATGTTGAGTCACAAATATTTTTGTATACCGAGGTATGAGTTTGCATTCATATTTACGAACGATGGGATTCTACTCTGGTATTAAAATTACCCGTTTGAGGTGATATTCTATATAATTACTTTCTATTTTTGGTAGAAAGAAATACAGTTTTGTTGCGCAAGCTGTCCGCCTGGCTAAAAATAAGATTGAATTGTATGTACTTAACCAATCATTTTTATTCCGCTTTTCTTCTGTTAAGCATTGGTCGCACTCGTAACTTCAAACGATTAAGCCATGGTTTCTCCTATGGATGCGACATCGACAGGAGAAACGAGTTTATTCATTTCTTATTTGTAGAGTGTTTTCACGAGAACAATTCATTTACATTTTTCTAGTATAATTAGTTTCAGGTTCCCTGGGCGCTGGGCATTATCGCTAATACCTCTGCATTCAATACTGCCTTGAGTAAAATATAAGTATATTGTGTTGAGCTACATTGTACCTTTTAGTGAATTCCCGATGAC